TATTAAATCCTATTTCTTCCAATTAGGCTCATTTTTACCATTGCACAGCTGGGATCTCAGTCACAAATGCTATATTTCTTTCCAGTTCACTACATTAAATCAAATTTACAAATTTCAAAAAAGGTTTTGAGCTGATATACACTCAATAGAGCATGTCCCAGTTAAATTTGTGGGAGTTTTTTTTTAAGTGATAGCTAGAAAGATCAAGATATAGAAATAGAATCCTTTCTCCTTGTTATATTTCAAATACTTTGAACAATAACATTTGCAGGCTTCATACAAATGAGTTTAAATCTAACACCGTATCAGAAGCCCTTTCTATATAAGGAATTAATGAACAGTACTGATGAGACCAATTGAAATTGGCTAGGATCCCATTCGTACAGTAACACAAAAACAAGAACCTTTGGAAATAGAGGCGAGGCTTTGCTTATTGATGGAGCGTGTAAACTTTCCCTTCTTTTCTTTATTACATTTTTTTTCCTGGCTCTCACTAGTTAAGAGCAAAACTCAATCAGGATTTTTGCCTATGCATCAACGTAGGAAGGACTTTACAACATTCTAATCCCGGATCAGCAAAAGAATCAGAGAAGTAAGAGCACACTAATTACTTCTGGAAGAATGGTTCTTGATAACTTTTATCTCTGTATACTAATCTGTGTAAAAGCAAGAGTGATATTTTATGAATAAATTTTGCACCTTTATACACATCTAAATCTACTTTGGATGATTGGGTCACATTCAGTGGTGGGTTCCGGTAGTGGATTGGAACCAGTAGTGACCAAGGCCTGCCACGCCCCTGAACTGGTTCTCTGGGCGGCACCGTGGGTGGCGCCATCTTGTTTTTTGCTTCTGCACACGGGCAGAACAATTTTAATTGTACTGTGCGTGTACGGCGCACCCACGAGTGAAGGTGAGGTGCTTGGTGCTCTCTGAGCTTGGTTTCTTGCAGACATTTCATTACCCAACTAGGTAACATCATCAATCCTAGTTGAGTAATGAACTGTCTGCAAGAAAAGACATTTCAGAGCACACCAAAGACCCAACCCTAATCTACAAATATTTCCAAAGGAGCACTTCTTACCTTCTAGAGATGAAAGCTGCCGCTCGGCTTCTAAATATAGCTGTGAAAAAATCGGCCTTGGGACTAAATTACTGGATCGGAGAGAAGCTTCAATAGAATTATGCAACACTTCTTCAAAACGCGTTGAGTTAAGTTGTCCCGCATAAGAATTTCCCATCTTCTTGAAGAATGAATCAGAATTCTTCAGGGGCGGGATATAATTATTCCACCTAAACAGGAAAAGATAAGAGGGGATTAGATCAACGTTTGCTTTAATAAAATTTGGAAGCGTGAGAGATTTCAAAGGAACGGTGTCTTCTAAGAGAACAGTGAATTGACTCAGTAAAAACGATGCAAAGCTGGCAGCATGAATTATATAGTTTATGATAATAGGTTTCTGTAATTCCTCAGAAAGGCATTCTTAATATTGACAAAAAAAAACTATTGATCTACTTTTAGGCATTGTGGAAATCACTTCTTAAAGCAGTTTTTTTAAAGCATTATATAATTAGGTTGCTTGCTATCTATCGAATTGAATGGCTATGTCCATTATCTCTTGTATCTCAGTAATATACATTTATTTATTTAAAGCTTTTATATGCCAAAGGACTCCGGGCGGCTTACAAAGAAAATATAAAAATATAAAAAAAAAAAAAAACAATACAATTTAAAACAACAGTCATCCCTCGTGCATTCATTCTAGTCAGGGCCGGACCTCAACAGTGAGGTCAACAGCCCCAGGAATGCCGGAACAGCCAAGTTTTTATGGCTTTCCTGAAGGCCATCAGAGTGGGTATGGTCCGGATTTCTGGTGGGAGCTGGTTCCAAAGAGTCGGAGCAGCCACCGAGAAGGCTCTCCTCCGATGGCCCGCCAGCTGACATTGTTTGGCCGACGGCACCCGAAGGAGGTCCAATCTATGGGATCTTACTGGTCACTGGGAGGTATGTGTCAGCAGGCAGTCTCGAAGGTATCCTGGCCCTAAGCCATGGAGGGCTTTAAAGGTGATAACCAACACTTTGAATTGAGTCCGGAGACCAATAGGTAGCCAGTGCAGCTCACGGAGGATAGGTGTAACGTGGTGTAACTGCTCTCTACCCTCCCTCAAGGCATTTGGTAACCTTTTCCCCAAACATGTTTGCCAATGAAACCTATTTACCACATTCACATTCAAGTTCATAACCTGAGATGTTGGAAGACAATCAGACAACCAATGTGTGCAGGGTAACCCTTAAATATGAAGGGCTCGCTGGATTCATTTCACTTTTTACCATTTCCAAGCTTGGAGAAGGCCTAATAAAAATAAATTCCAGACATGGTAATTATCCAACATCGTCTGCATCTACTTCGGGCCCAGGAAGCAGCCGGCTGGAGCACAAACCGTGTTAATGGCAACATCAAAGCACTTGCCTGCACTTCCACAATATAAAAATTTGGGACAGCTCTTGTTTAACAGTCCAAGAGGCAGAAAGATATATGCCGGTGGCCATGAATGTGCCAGCTAGGTCATAAAAATGGCACCCAGAGGTTTGGCAGGCCGATGGGCCTCGTTTTTCTTGCGCTATTGAACTCTGTATCAGATTTATGTCTCTTAGGAGCTCTCAGACAGAAGCGGAGGTGGGGGAGGCTGTTTCAAATGTCTGTGAAATTCCAAACAATGATCAGAACCGACTATCTCTATTCAAAAAACTCCAGCCAGCCGGAAGTGGGAACAAGAGAAAGGCTGATCTCCCCAAAGCAATGGATGAAAGGAATCCCAGCACTTTACTACTTGCTGCAGAACAAACATGGAGGAATTCTATAAACTTCAGCTAAGGAGAACACTAAGTATATTTCTAATACTTCACGACAGAGGTGGGTTCCTACCCGTTCGCACCTATTCGGTAGAACCGGTTCGTCAAATCTACCGAACCGGTTAGAAGAGGTTCCACCAGTCGACCCGGAAAGCCGGCCACACCTACAGAAGAGGTTCCAAAATTTTTTGAAACCCACCACTGGTCCTTGGATGTGATTATTCTACACTATCATGCTCATACTTATAAAACTCAGTGCCTCTGTGAAAGGTAAGGATGACTACTGCGTTTGTGGTGCAATCAGAACATTGCGTGTGTTGAAGTTGTTTTAACGCAAACCAAAGATGCCTTTTAAAAAACAAGTTTACACCATATTCTTATGCATGCCAGTGCTGTGTGTGAAGTAATTTAAGGTGGTTCTGACAAGTGTCGTCGGCATCTTCATATAGCAATAGCAGTTAGACTTATATACCGCTTCATAGGGCTTTCAACCCTCTCTAAGCGGTTTACAGAGTCAGCATATGGCCCCCAACAACAATCCGGGTCCTCATTTTACCCACCTCGGAAGGATGGAAGGCTGAGTCAACCCTGAGCCGGTGAGATTTGAACAGCTGAACTGCAGAACTGCAGTCAGCTGAAGTAGCCTACAGTGCTGCATTTAACCACTGCGCCATCTCGGCTCAGTATCCGGTCACATGGGCAGCAAGCCACTCCCATCCGGTCACATGAGCGGCAAGCCACTCCCACAAAGGAGTCCACACCCACAATTCGAACAATTTTTGAAACCCACCACTGCTTCACGATCATAAAAAGATAAGCGGGAGAAAGCCACACTAGCGTTAATCCCTGCTGAAAGTGGGGGCGATGCCGTGTTGAAGAATATATACCAGGATTACAGGATGGGAATTTACAAAAACGGTGATCAGCTTTTCCCAACTGTGGTGATTTTTTTTTTCCAGATGATTTTGGCTACAACCCATTCATAGGAAATTACTCTTAGTCTATCATATTGGGAAAACACCAACCGCTATCCTTTCTTTTTCTTTCATGCCCAAATTAGGATTTTGTGAGGTAGAGAGAAGCAGACGCCAGCAAATTTAGTTTATTGTGGTCCCATATTTATGGTCTTCAAAGTGAAGAAACAGATGATAAAGAGAAATGAGTCACCGTGGTGGTGATGCTGCTGCTTCTACTGAGGCATGGGAGTCAAATTCAAGTTCAGCCACCACAAACTCTTAGCCAACTCAATTTGGTTTTTGAGGGGGAACCACGTGGATCCCAGCTTTGAACAGCCTCCTAAAACTGTCGTAGCCAGTGAGAAAGAAATCTGGATTAAAAAAAAAAATACAGCACACGGCTCTTTTTTTTTTAAATTCAAGATAGAAAAGGAAACATCTCATGTGAGGGTGAGCAATTAATTTCTGGTTGCTTAATTCCCTGCAGCTTAAAATGTAATGGCTTCTCTGGTTTAGTAACCTGAACTAAACTGGCAGTGAAAAAACAAGCTTGCCTTTCTCAATTCCTCTAAGATAAGTGGCCTAAACATCTTCATGTGATTAAAAACCTGTATAAAGAAAACAGCAGTTCCATTCCTATTCAATATAACAACACCCAAAGTCTATGTTAATATCAGATGGCAGGGAGAACTACTCTTACAGTTTGGGTTTCAAAAATGCTATTTAGATCTCTTTCCTACTTTGCCCCAAATAAACACACATTCACCAAATATAAGCAGGGTTGAACTCGTATCTCTAGCATCTTCACATACATGGAAGGTCACTGCAAGGATGTAGTTATCTGTATATAGGACTGGAAGGTTTTATTTCCTGATGGATTGAAAAACCCCAAAATACTTTGCTAAAAATCTATACCGTGTACGGGCTCTGGGAAGTCGGGGGGGGAGGGNGGAGACCAATAGGTAGCCAGTGCAGCTCACGGAGGATAGGTGTAACGTGGTGTAACTGCTCTCTACCCTCCCTCAAGGCATTTGGTAACCTTTTCCCCAAACATGTTTGCCAATGAAACCTATTTACCACATTCACATTCAAGTTCATAACCTGAGATGTTGGAAGACAATCAGACAACCAATGTGTGCAGGGTAACCCTTAAATATGAAGGGCTCGCTGGATTCATTTCACTTTTTACCATTTCCAAGCTTGGAGAAGGCCTAATAAAAATAAATTCCAGACATGGTAATTATCCAACATCGTCTGCATCTACTTCGGGCCCAGGAAGCAGCCGGCTGGAGCACAAACCGTGTTAATGGCAACATCAAAGCACTTGCCTGCACTTCCACAATATAAAAATTTGGGACAGCTCTTGTTTAACAGTCCAAGAGGCAGAAAGATATATGCCGGTGGCCATGAATGTGCCAGCTAGGTCATAAAAATGGCACCCAGAGGTTTGGCAGGCCGATGGGCCTCGTTTTTCTTGCGCTATTGAACTCTGTATCAGATTTATGTCTCTTAGGAGCTCTCAGACAGAAGCGGAGGTGGGGGAGGCTGTTTCAAATGTCTGTGAAATTCCAAACAATGATCAGAACCGACTATCTCTATTCAAAAAACTCCAGCCAGCCGGAAGTGGGAACAAGAGAAAGGCTGATCTCCCCAAAGCAATGGATGAAAGGAATCCCAGCACTTTACTACTTGCTGCAGAACAAACATGGAGGAATTCTATAAACTTCAGCTAAGGAGAACACTAAGTATATTTCTAATACTTCACGACAGAGGTGGGTTCCTACCCGTTCGCACCTATTCGGTAGAACCGGTTCGTCAAATCTACCGAACCGGTTAGAAGAGGTTCCACCAGTCGACCCGGAAAGCCGGCCACACCTACAGAAGAGGTTCCAAAATTTTTTGAAACCCACCACTGGTCCTTGGATGTGATTATTCTACACTATCATGCTCATACTTATAAAACTCAGTGCCTCTGTGAAAGGTAAGGATGACTACTGCGTTTGTGGTGCAATCAGAACATTGCGTGTGTTGAGGTTGTTTTAATGCAAAC